ACTTTTGTTGTCGAGCGAGTTACGCTCTGTCAGATAAATCGGTTCACAAATGCAATTACAATAACTCTGTGAAAATAGTGGTTTGTAAAATATCAAGATCCCTATAAAATGCAAGTGCATGTGCGTGCACGTAATAACGGCATACCATGCGATAGCCTATGGTTACATATGTACCTGACATGTTAATATACCATGCGTAAGCAGGCTATGGAATGATGTCCAAAGTGTACATGATTGAGAGTAATTTTGTTCCATAAAAGAACAGTAAATTGACAAATAAATATAGTAATTTAATTTATTTCCGTCGTTTTTGGTATATTAAATAAAATAAGTGTCATTGTATAAATTCTATCCCTCTGCAAAAAGTTCCGATTTTTTTCAAGGTAGACAACTCTCATCAGGATCAAAATAATTGTAAAATGTAAAATAAATTAATTATAAAGACTTTGTGTGTATTTGGTTCAATTTTTCACTCTTTTTGTATGTAACTATGTGTCCTGTTTGATTTTGGCTTGTATTTAGTAACTTTTATCCATATAGTTTCAATAAAAAACGCTTTTTGTAACATGTTGTAGATATTTTATGATAAATAAAATATTTGTAGGGTTGATTAGCAATGTTTCTTTTCATTATTTTATTGTTGTAATAGTTTTGAACAATGCCACACGCTCAAAAAATGTGAAAGTGTTGAATTTGACAAAAAATCAATTTTTCGGTATTTTTTACAAATAAATCCCCAGTTTATCGGAATACTTAGATTTTCATAGAATCAGCTCTACATAGTGACATAACCATCATGTGAAACTTTCATTGAATTCTGATGGCTAATTGCGAAAGGGTGGAGCCTCCTTAAGCCAAACCCATTCAACGGTCACTGTAATGCTGTGTTACACGCATTGTTAAACTGTACATAATCTTCATGACTGTGATGAGAAATTACAATAATATATACAGTTTTCATTATTGCATACGAGCTTTTCGTATTTTTTTTCATTCCTTAATATTGATCTACAAATTGTACACAATCGCACAGTTGTGCGGAGAGAAGCGCACAACGGGGCGAACGATTGTTAAATCGCACAGTTGTGCGCACCATAAGTGGACGATGTGCGGACGGTGTGGAAACGATGTGTGCGCACGCTATTTTTAGTGCGTTGTGCGGTCACACAAGTGTAGTGCTAATACCACTATTTGTAACAATTTAAGTATGTAGATTTTAACAAGTGATCAACCATAAATAAAACGCCAGAAATGCATCTTTCCATCATCCACAATTATTTTAAATTATTGAAATATTGTAAACAGCAGCGGTATTATATAATGTAGTAAGTAAATAGATATTATTTATATTTAAAAGTAATTATTTACAAACTTATTTTGCACACTCGTTAGAAGTACATTTATAACAAAGCTTATATGAAAAATAATTCTGAAATGTACTCTTGTTGTGCTTATATTTTCACATATGTTTAAGAGTATTGTGTGCTTATTTCAGCTAATGCAAATAACACAAAAAGTAAAAAAGCAATAAATCATCTAAGTTTTGTATCTCTTTACTTTATATTTTGATAATAATTTGCACATACAATTAAATGGTTTATTATGCTTTAAAAAAAACCCACAGCTAATGAGAGACATAGGGCTGTTAATCATAAACGACGTGACAAAACATATGACACGTGCAAATTCAATTGATCCATCCGTAGTTTAGCAACCCATTCATGGACCAAAATAAACAAGTTCCCTTTTTATATTGAGGCACGATAGATATGTCCTCAGACAGAAGTGCTGTCACGCCACGTAAATATGGCTGCCAGCTATCGGTAGACGGCGCACCTGTTCGGACGAAAGACAAAACTTCCCGCCTAACCGTCTCCTGAAATCTCTTATCGGAAGAAGCTGGTGGCTTAATGTAATCTTTAATGGTATCAAAATATGCAAATTGGTCCCACATGTGGAAGGCATACGATGAAGGAAAAGGCATTCCGAGTGCATGAACAGGTTCCGAAGGTTGTGACGTCACAACGTATCTGTAGACCGGTGATTTCATACCCATACTGATAACTCTGGACATTTCATCATTAGGACATCCCACACGAATATCTGCACCCATCCTTGTGTACTCATATTCTGGTGACGTCACATTAATCGGGTATAAATCCAATGCATCTTCAGCTACATTAGATCCAAATGATCCTAAATGACTTTTGACCTGTCGCTCATACTCTGTCCAGTTCCACGTGTTCATGGTCAAATGGGTCGGATTAAAATCGATCTCATTCTCAGTAGTACCTGGTAAAATTGGTATAAACTTGTACAGTTATAATGCTTTTGTTAATCAATGAAATACGTCATCAATACAATGGAACTTAGCAAACGTAATTATTAATTAACCTATTTCAATTATCTACTCTTTATTAAATTTTCACATATGTGTGTTACGGTTACTGTTCCGTTACGCTTACTGATATTTGTTTGTATACAAGACTTCACGAGTTACCTCCCTTGGTTTGGNGTTACCTTTCAAGATACAAGGTGGTCGACTCTGCTGCATGGTCGATTTCTTATATAATTAATCTCTCTGTTGGCTAGCGTTACATTTTTAGTTATTGCACAGTTCATAATGAACATGCGTTAGTAATCATCAAATTTTTGAAATTCATATAATTATGGGAGATTATGCATCTCTCCTTTTGTTTAAACATGAGTTAGACCAATTGGGATTTGCACCTATTTGGCCCTTAGTATCATCAATGAGTCTAAGAAGGACGAGAATACTGTATGGTGCAGTGTAATTCATTTCCATATAATTTTATGTAGATGCTATGACAAGTGAGTGTCTTATATTCATCTCTCCTCAACGGAATTACAGTGCAGGAAAAAAATAAACAAAAATGTATCAGTTCTACACTCAACAAACCGTACAATACATGTATATAATTATTTTAAAACAACTGTTCGTTCACTTGACTAGTCCTTTTAGACGCTTACCTATAAGTAGTGGAACGTCTATAGCGATGCCTTGTTGCCATGCCTTGTAAGGTGGATACGTCACAGCGTCTCCTAGGTAACACAAAGTTTAATAATTCAACATATATATAGACCTAAAAAGGCTTTACGATGTGGACACATTCATTCGTGATGAACATTACATGAATATTTTAATATGTATTATAAAGCATAGTTACACTCACATTTCATATACCACTGTATTGCAATTTTTAAATGTACGAAGAATGAATAATAATTTTGGAGAGAAATGTAGATACAAGATACAAGAAAATTCATTTAACGTCGCATACTGGTAAACAAGGATCATAAGCTCTTGAGAGCTATTATTGCGACAAGCATATGTAAAATAACAATATCATTAAATTATTATATTTTCACGCTTATAAAAAAAAAAAAAAATCAAAACAATTACTGATTTAGAATTAAAACAAGAATCCAGTGACATGTTGCTCTCTGGCATATGATATCTTCTGCTGAACAATCGCATAATGTCCCAAGTAATATACCAATCACTTATGAAATCAACATACAGGCATATATATATATATGGGTAACCAAAATACAAAGGTCATAGATCATATTGGCAATCATCATCTATTGATTTGACATAATATTTTCACATTATGTCAATATATACTTAAACCATATGTCAATATAAAAGTAATTTAAGGTCACCGGTTAGATTGTTCAAATGATAGTGTACATGTTCTTTAAAGAATTTGCATTACAGTGCAAAAAATCAACCATTATTTTTTAGTACTGCGATTGTGAAATTGCAAACCAGACATTTCTGTATCTTTCACAATGAAATATTTGAAGTCTTACTCAAGTTGGACTCAATGCAACTACCAAATGTAACCTGTTTCATTTACCGATGAATTTGACAAGTTTAATTGTTTAAACAACCAAAACCGATAAATCAGCAAAATGTTACCAGCGGTAGTGACAAGTCATCGCTTTACTTGTAATATTGAAAAATAGGGGTCTCCTATACTAATAAATACAAAGGGATATAACGGCAGATTGAAATCCGTTACCCCTTTTCTCTTTCAGCTCGTGTCAATCACAAATCTTTGGCTACCTGTATGTATGCGAAAGGGAAGCTACTCCAAAAAAGTTACCTCATTTGTTTTCGCCACTGATAGGGCGGGACATCATTCTGTGCGGAGCGTAAAATAATTCGAAAAAAATAGCGCTTAGTTGTCGACTGCTACTGTGTAATGCAGGTGTGCGAGGGGGGAAAATCCCGATATACTGCTTGTCATGTGTAGAAACTGTTCGACGTAGTATTTCAGAGAAGCGGGCAGCACATGTATTGGATTGAGGATATTAAATAAGGATTTAAACCATTCCTTGGATATTTTCTCGATTTTATCCGTGAAACTTGGTCATTTCTCGTGAGTATAGAATTTGGTTCGGTCGCAATTTAACGGTGTAATTGCGACTTTCAAGCGGTGTCAGTGGATAACTATATGTCAGACAGTCGTAATTATGGTTTCATTTTGTAAGTAAATCACTTGTCTTCAATATTCAACCGAGGTATATCCAATATGGCCAAAGATTTGTGATTGACACGAGCTGAAAGAGAAAAGGGTTGAAGATTTCGATGTTACACCCTCAAGGTATGGGAAGATTCTATTAGTCTTAGGTGGGTTTTCTATTCCTTAATAATTCATTATCTTGAATCCCCCTTGCAAAAGTATTAACGATAGAAACATTTTCTAGGAATTTCCTTACAAAAACAAAAGAATCTAACACAGGTTAAATGTACGTATAAAACATACATGACACGATTTGCTAAAACTGTGTACAACTGCTGTATGGTGTCAGGAATGAATGTATTGTTACCAGTGGTACATGTAGCATGAGTTGTCAGAAACTACATGTAACGTGACCTAAGTCCTGATACATGTAGATACGTTTAACCGTATGATATTTGAACATTAGAAATATAAAAATAAATAAATAAAATTAATATTTACCGTCTACAACTGCTATGGCGCCATCAAAATGACCTTTAACGGGGAGGTCACCTTGGTCAGACATCCCCCAAAACGGGTACACATCCCATGGAACAGAATTGATTACCTCTGAACCCGGAAGTTGATAAAGACACGTGATATTTGTACATCCGGTATTTTTCAGAAAGACAATGTTGTCTTTGGAAGCATCCTGAGATGTTTTGTTGAAAACAGACGAAGCACTAAGCATCCAAGCCTTGTGGAACAACCCCCTTGCCTGTTCTGAAGCCAGCAATGCAACAATGCTTGTTCCTCCAGAGCTCTGGCCAAATAGTGTGACCTGTCAAAAATGATACAATAACAGGACTTCAAAATATCAGTAAACGGTATACCCTAATGGTGTGTCGAAAGGCCTTTCAATCAAGTGAAAACTAATGACACTCATTGTCAAGTCGTGTTACAGAGGAGTTGGCCAATCTGGATTTATGTAATAGTTTGTTTTTAAAACTGAAAGTATTCAACATATCTAATTCAATTATAGCATAGTAATAAAATGTAATGCAACATATTACTTTTTAACTGAGATTAACATATAATTATTCGAGATAACCTCTCGCGTTCCTTTCAAACCGGATTTTTTTTAAGATATCTAGACACTGGTTGTAGATAATTGCACATTTGTAGTGATTTTCTATAACAAACATGAAATCAATAATTAAAGATCATAACTTCATTTTGTGTTTCACTGAACAACAAAAAAACACATAAAAATAGGTTTTATACAATGTTTTACGTACTGAATCAGGGTTTCCGCCAAAATTCCTGATATTATTCCGAACCCATCTCAGGGCCAGGATTTGATCCATGATTCCGTAATTACCGGAAGTGTTGGTCGGCGAATGCTCCGACAGCATTGTAAGGGTCATGAAACCAAACGCGTTTAGACGGTAGTTCATACCAACATAAACTATGTTTGTGTCACGCGCCAGCTCCTCTGAAGGACAATAAGTAGGCCAGTTGGCGTTAGAAATTTGTAAACTTCCGCCATGGATCCACACCATTACGTGCAGATTAGCAGTTCTATCGGTGGTTGGGGTCCACACGTTGAGGTAAAGACAATCCTCACTTCCTAAAATTGCCTTAGGGTTCTCTGGGTTTCTCTGCATACATGTGTTTCCATAGTCATAAGCCTTGAAAGTACCATCCCAGCAGTTTCCGGAGACTTTATTGAGTGGAGTTGGCGGTTTCCATCGTCTACTTCCTGTGGGTGGCAGAGAGTATGGAATTCCACGAAAAGCGTATCCTTCGCCATTGTATTTACCTTCCACTAATCCACATTGTGTTTCCACTATTGCCGTCGGTTGGCTGACAACATGTTCACAAAAACTTAAAGCAAGGAGTTCATAGAATACATATAGTAAAGACGACATTTTTATATTTTTTGACCCCAGGTGTGTATTATTTATCTTATCCATGTCGATATCTACAGATTGACGTTATTTATATTTAAGGAAGACTGGACCGCTGTATTGACTTTTATCTCTAAATTCAAAAGTTGATTTTGCTTAGCATATCTTAGAGTAGCATACCTCTTTTCTGTTTGTAATTGTCACCATATTTCTCCTTTTTAAGTCTTTTCCGCAGGTGAACAAGTGGAGATGATAATTAATATTTTAAGATCTCGTTATTGAAATGTGGTTGAATGTGACATTTTAAGATTTGTTGATTTAATCGTTAAAATCGCTATATATATATATATATATTACTATCTCATTGTGTTATACAAGGTCTATAATGTGTCATAATATACATATACAAAATGTATAATAGCATGCCAGATATATACAGTACAAGACACGTTGATGTATTAAGGGGTCTAACAGCGGCACAATCATCCTTAACAAAATTGCTCTCATTTATGTCAGCTATGATAGGAAAAGTAAACAAGGGGTTGTGTTGACCAAACAAGATAAAAATGTGAAACTGCAAAGTATCTACACAGCTACAGTGTATCTGCTGATAACCGTAAACCGTAAGGTGTATATATAATAATATGTGATACGCATACGTATTAAGGCATACTTCTGACATGCTGTACCAATCCAGAGATAAATTCAGTTTTATATTTTAGTGTACCTTTCTCTACGTAATATCCATGTAACCTGATTGGTTGAAACATATCCTTAGTTACTAGAATATCCTTGAACAAGGTCATAGCTACAGCTGGCATGTGACTATTTAAAATACCAACTTAATAAAATCCTCAATATTTCATTCTCCTATAACTTAATTAATGAAATAAGTTAATGAGCACTTACTGATATTTTTCCAAATTTTGTGCAGAATTTGATTATAATTACTGTCAAAAAACTATGAGGGTTATCTGTGAAATGTTGCTGGAGTTCTGTGAGTCTCGTTATATTTGAAGGGAGCATGATTTCTAAATAACGCTTGAGAAGCAGCTTAGTATTTTTTTCCTTGTTGATATTGGACGCTTAGCGATGGTCTCCACGAGCTGTTGGCTCGTAGTTCACGTAGAAAATATGGTAAAATGTCAAAAATAATGTTGGAGAATTCCGATTTCGAGACCGCCACGTGGTTCGCAGGCCCGTTTTCTTCCTTTTCAAAGAATTGACTTTTTTTGAACGATAATGCTTTTTTAATTTCCGTATGTCTATTGTAATATGTAAAACGAAACTTTTATGCGAAAAAATATCTAAAACCCACTATGCCATCGCGTGTCCTGTCTTATATGTTTATTATACACTGTTTTCTGTCTTAGTAAATTATTGAATTGTATTCCGGTTTATGGTGTCAAAGTCACCAGTCTCCATGTCCTTACTGTAGTATTTGTATAGTAACGGTCACCAGTCATCCATGTCCTTACTGTAGTATTTGTATAGTAAAGGTCACCAGTCTCTATGTCCTTACTGTAGTATTTGTATAGTAACGGTCACCAGTCATTCGTGTCCTTCCTGTAGTATTTGTATAGTAA